TATGTGTTAACAAAGTAATTAATTTTAGAATAAATAACTACCTGGTACTTATGTTGCATGCGTTTTGTGTTGTATTAGGTACTACTAATAATTAAACATAGAATGCAGAATCATTATACATACATATAAGTTCAGAAACAATACATAATCATGCAATCAACAACTTTTATGCAGGGTGGTCCATCCTATATGCCTCAGTCTCTGTATGAAAAATGACTTAATATCCAAAGTCGTTTTCCATACAGAGATTGAGGCGTATAGGATGGGCCACCTTGTATATCTACCAAGAACAACAACAAAATATAACTGCAATAGTATTAAAAAATAAATACTTATTCAGTGTTTTGTCATTCAGGTCAAAATATACTGTCAAAATTCATAACTAAAATTAGTATAACTTGAGAAAATCATATATCTGCTATCCAATAGGAAACTAAGTTCCTGTATATATCTGCTGATTTAAATTTGAAGTTTTTACATAGTTTTACAGTCTTAATAAATGTGTTAATGTACAAAACTTGTGGTATCAATACTTTTGACATTTGCTTCTAAATAGTTATTTTAAAGAGAGTTCATCTTATCAAATAACCATAACCCCTCACAACATCAACACTTTCTTGTTACTAAGTCCGGTTAAATTAGGAGCAAAAGCAGGAAAAAACCCATAAAACTAGGTATTTAGTATCCATAAACAGTAAACAACTACTTTGTTGAGATAACATTATGTTAATTTATGTCATGATGATTTACGACAGCATTAATAACATGAGAATTTTTTGTTTTAAGGTACTACCATCTAGAATGCTAAAAAATGACACATTTTCAACAATTTTTCTTTTATCTTATCTATTATATATAGCAATAAAACTTTTTTTATATTATTATACAACTTTTGAAGAATACAAATTTTTTTCTATAGAACTGTTAATCTATAGAACCGCAGACAGTTAATCTACAGAACTTCAAATCTGAAACAAAAAATTCGAGAAGGGATTTAAAAAAGAAGTACCTTTATGTGATAAAGTAGCAAAAAAATTAAAATTCTTGAAAAGAAACATAATGGCAGACATTTGTTGATTGTGCATGGCAAAAATTGTTCAAAATTAACCTTTTTTTTTACTTTTTTGAGTCACAAAAATTTTAATATTACTTTTTTCTTTATCAAAATATAAAACTATCATATAAAAAACCAAAAACAAATAAAATGAATCAAGGTTTATTAAAATCGACTGACTAGATCCAGAGATTAATTTCAGCCAGTTTTAAAAACACAGTTTTTCTCAAAATATTTAATCTACCTATCTAGTCAGTCAATTTTATGAAACCTTGATGCATTCTAATAAACTTGGATGCATTTTGTTTGTTTTCATTTTCTCTATGATAGTTTACCAGAATTTGAATATTTTTTTCAAATGTCCACCATTTTGTTTTGTTTTAACAATTTTGTTTTAAACAATTTTAACAATTTTCTAAACAAATGTTTAGAAAAATTCAATCCTGGAATGATGCTGTTATATTACAGGAAGATCTTAAATCGTTTTATGATTGGTGCACTTTTAAACAAAATGTCACTCAATATAAACAAATGTCATAAAATGACATTCTCGAGGCAAAGAAATCCAATTACATTTGTTTACTACATAAATAACTTGCCATTAGCCTCGAAAAATGAAGTATTAGATTTGGGAATTTGGTTAGACACCAAACTGTCATTCTCAAGCCACATTAACCAAGTAACAAACAGAGCGATGAAAGTGCTGGGATTTATCCAACGCACATCTGTGGATCTGTCTTTATTTACATTTAAAAGACTTTATTGTGGTCTCGTTAGGCCCATTCTTGAGTTTGGATCAGTTGTATGGTCCCCATCATACCACTGTTACATTCAACAGATTGAAAGAGTCCAGAATAAATTTTTGAGGGTAGCAGCCTATAAGAGTGGATACAGGAGAGAGGAATACGACTATCAGTGGGTAAGAGATAGTCTTAACTTACCAACTCTTGAGTCAAGGAGGACATTGTTGGATTTATGTTTCTTACACAAAGTTATCAATGCTTTTATAGATTGTCCTCAACTCTTATCGCTTGTTAGTCTTAAAGTTCCTAGTAGAAGCAACAGACAATCAGAAATCTTTTCGGTGCCATTTCACCACACTAATTATGGTACCAATGAACCAACTACACGATTGGCCCGGAGTGCTAATAGCTTGCCAAGACAAATAGATATTTTTGACTCCAAAATTAGTTTGTTCAAAAAACAACTAAAAAATATCTTACAATAAGTTGGTTATACATCTGTATTATTCTTATATGTTTGTATTATTCTGAGGTGTTTGTTATTTTAATAATTTATTGTTGTTAAGGTGTAACTTTTTAAAACTTGTGATTGTTATTTTAATAATATATTGTTTTTAAGATGTAACTTTGTAAAAATTGTAAGTAAATGGATGCCGTATATAAATAAATAAATAAATAAACAATTTTCAATTCTTCTGGTAAACTATCACGTAATGGGACTTCTTTTTTAAAACCGTTCTTGCATTTTATGTTTCAGATTTGCTGTTCCAGATATTAAATGTCTGCTATGGTGCAGTAATTTATGGATGAAAACATTTTGGCGCATCATCTGTTTTGCAAAAATTTCGGCGTTTTTTTTTTAATTATTAGTACTTAAGTGAAAAAAAATAAGTTTTTTCATTTTTTACCAATATGTAATTAAAATAAAATTATCAAATTGTATATTTTATTTGAGTTATTCAGAGTTGAATTTATTATTCAGTATTCTGACTTATATTTTACAAAAAATATTTAGTTTATTATTGAGCTCAGGTGTCTTTTCGGAGACCTGGAAGAGAAGTTATATTATCCCAGTCCATAAAGGTGGCAATAGAAAACATATTAAAAACTACCGAGCTATATCTAAAATATCAGATTTTGCTAAATCTTTTGAAGGGATTGTAGCTACAAAACTTGGTCCATTATTGAATCCTACTTTAATGCCTGACCAACATGGTTATATTCCAGGATGTTCTACTACTATCAATCTTTTAGTTTTAGAATAATCTTTGTTGAATGCTCTTTGAAGAGTATGACTAGGTTGATGTCATTTACACTGACTTTTAGAAGACATTCAATAAAGTTAATCATACTGTCCTAATCTCTAAACTTTTGTCATCTACTATCAATGCAACCTCTGGTGTTCCACAGGGTGGACATTTATCTTCTCTACTTTTTAATTATTTTGTAAATGATACAAAAAAAAATTACCATAGTATATGCTTCTTTATGCTGATGATCTACTTAAAAATTTATAGTCATAAAAAATTCCGATCACTGTAGTTTATTACAGAATGATTTAAGTACATTATTGGATTGGTGTAACTTAAATGCTTTGAATTTGAACATAAATAAATGTAAGGTAATGGGATTTTTTAGAAACAAACATCCAATTTCATTTGAATACCATATTGGACTGAATATTTTAGAGGTAATCACAACATTTACGGATTTTGGGGTAATTTTTGACCCTACAGTAAGCTTCAGGGCCACTTTTATTATGTTTCTAATTGATCCATGAAACTTTTAGGTTTCATAAAATATAGCCTCTCTGAATTTGATAATATTTATTGTCTCAAAAATATATACTGTTCCCTTATTAGATAGGTTTTGGAATATGGTAGCAAATATTTGGTCTCCTCATTTTAAATGCTACAAAGATCTATAAGAAAGAGTACAGAAAAAGTTCTTAAGATTTATTGCTTTTAAATTGAGAATACCTGTAAATGAAATTGAATACATTGTTTTGCAATCTTTACTGTAATTGCCTACTCTTAAAAAAAGGTGAATATTTCTAGATGTAGCATTTATATATAAATTAATAAGAGAACGCATTGATGCTAGTGCTCTTTTGGAAAAGGTTTACTTCCTCTAGAGACACCAAATCCCAGGATTTATTTTATTTAGAATTTCATAATCAAACTTATACTGTAAATAACCCCTTACAGAGAATGTGTAGAAATGCAAACAAATTGAATACTAATGATTTTTTTTCGTTTATCACTAAGTAATATTAAGAATGAGATCAAAAATACCTTTTTATGTAATCACATTGGGCTTTAATAGTTCAAGCTAAATTTAAGTTGATTTGTAAAAAAATGGGAAGTCCGTAAATAAACATTACAATCTTTTAAAACAATGCAAAAGCTTCAAAGTTTTGTACATACTATAGAAGTTCTAAAATTAATTTGTTGCTCTGATAACAGCAGAATAAGGCAAAATTGTTTGTAAGATAAACCTATACCTTAGTTATTGTAGCAAAAGATGCAAATATTTTTTAATTATATGTAATGTCATACTAAAACAGCATACTGATGTCATATGCACTAAGTCCGCCCATTAAAACAAAAATATTAGAATATTGAAAAAAAAACAGTATGTATGTTACTTAATAATCATTGTGCTAAAATTATGAAACATATAAGTGCCTTATTGAAAGTAAACAAAAAGGTTTGTTAAAATATCTATTAACTGTCTTCTATTAGATCTAATTGACAATATTATTGTATTTTTATGTACTTATAGGATAAAAAGTAATGGCTATTGTATACACTTTGACCTATGACATTTTTGTTTTAATGCAGACACATTATAGACAAAGTTCAAAATTTAACCTTCAGTGATATTAATTGCTCCATTTAGGATTTGGGAATTCCCAAAAAGGCAGAAAATTAAAAAATAATGATTTGGTATTTAGCTTTGATATGACAGTTTAAATACAGCATATTTCTTTACTGTTTTAGAAATAAAGTCTTTACCATTTATGTGATAATATAATTAGATAATGATTAACAATAAGAAACAACAGTAATACATTACAACAACTACTATTTTTATGTACATGCTTTCTAAATATAGATTGATGTATTATTGTGAAATTTCTTAAGTGCAGGGATTCACCACAATCATCAATAAAATAGTTAAATGTGTTTATAAACACTCACCTGGCCCTAGGAACTGACAACCTCTAGCTCTAACAGCAGCCCACAAATTTGCAGACAGCTGTTGGGGATTTTGATGTTGCAGAATAAGTTCGGTAACTGTTCTTTCGCCCAACGATCTAGCAGCTCGCATAGCTCTTGTTCTTCCTTCATCTTCTACTAACTGACAGTTGATCAGCGTGACTAGTTTTCTTTGCATAGGTCTTGAAAGGATACTTCCACTACTACACACACTTCCACTAGGATAGGGCTTCAAATATAGAGCAAGCTGTTCAATGTACCTTTTACATTGTAAATAATAATCTAGGTATTCCCTAGGAATAATCTTACAGTCAATTTCATCATTGTCATTCCTTATATTTGGTCCAACCAGTTGCAATAGAGCAGTGTTGATGGGCAAGTTTTCAATGTCAATACTAATGTTTGTCTGGTCAAAGGGGCACTGTCTCCTTGGTAAGTTTGAAAGACAAACCCTGCATATTGTATGGCTACAGCCCAAACTTATTGGACTGCGAAGTTTCTCATCAAAGGAGTTGCAGCATACTGGACACGAAAGGAACTCCGTCCACTGAGGTGCCTGGATGGGCATTCTAAAATTTGAAATCACCATTATGCTAACATCATCAAGTTTGGGTTGTCAAAATCAGGTGATGACACTTTCATATGCCAATGTGGCAAGATTTATTGGTAGATTTAATGCGATATACTACGGTTTTCTGCTATTTTCTTGAATATATACCAAAAACAAAACGAATATTTTGTTTAACATGCAAATAGGGATGAATACCTTGATTAGTTCACCAAAAATAATCACATCATGTAGCACTTTAACACTGGATGATTCACATTTGTTGTGAAATCTGACTTCTCGAACTTTGACGTCATTAAACGTCACGCTCAAGGTCGCCATTGTCATTTTTTCTGTTCATAAACCATAATGAGCATTTGCAAATTAAAAATATGTTGCCATCCTACCAGTAAGAAATTATAAATTTTTTTATCAACTTAAATACTGACTTTAAATAGAATAAATGTTTTAAACTTATTTTATTAGGTTTATTCCTCTATTAGTCATTTAAAAAAAGGCGGCAAAAGTTTACGGAATTTGTTTCGTTAGATTAAATAATTTTTTTACCGTAGTAAAGCTATGTTAAATAATAAATATTTGATGAATTTGCTAACTTAATCCCAAATATGTCCATATTCCATATAATCACTTTCATGAAAATTGTATTTATTTGATTATATTATGCTAAAGCTAATTACATATATATATTTTTACTGCAATAAATAGGTATATAAACAAAGATCTGGTTAATTTATGCATTATTTATATATTGTACACCATTTGTTTATTTTACATACCGATTAAAATCCATACTTTATCAAATTTCTAATTACCATAATCCATACTTATTTTAAACTTCAAACATGGTGATCTGTTTTTAGGTTATGTCAATTGCAAAAGTTTATTTACATTATTTTGTAAATTTTTGTTTTTTTAATAGATCTGTTATTTTCTTTTATTTGTTGCCCGTTTTACTCTAAAGCTTAAACTGTAAATACATATAGACATAATGAATGTCAACGAAGTCCAGGAAAAAGTGAAAGAGTATGAAAATTTTATTGAAGATAAACTGAAACGGGATCTAGAGGATATAGTAGTTATTCTTAAAGACAAAAGTACCAAGTTGAAAGACTGGGAAGAAGTAAAAACAACTGTGAAAACGATTCGTAGGTCTAAAGAAAAAAATCGAGACATGGTAGTGAAAGTGAACATTGGGGGAGGTATTTTAGCGCAAGGAGAAATTAGTGACCTAGAACAAATATACATAGATGTGGGTTTAGGTTATATGCTCGAAATGAACCACGAAGAAGCCGATAGATACGCAGATATCAGAATGAATTTGTTGAAGAAAGAAATAGCTCACTTTAGAAAAATGGCTGTAGATGTAAAAGTTAATATTAAATTAATATTGCTGGCTCTCAGCGAATTACAAGCTACTCTTACACCAACAAATTTGTCTACAAGTAACAAATAATGAGGTTTACAGTTTTAAGGCTATATCTCATGAGAATCAAGGCTGCGTTTTTCATAAGGATTGGATGTTATTGTAAATAGTTACTGCATAACTAGTTCATTTAAAGTTGATCTGGACACTGTGTAGGGGAAGTGATATTGCTAACTTTGCTGCAGTATTTATATTGTAAATTAACAACCATATACCAATAGTTACTTAAGTGCAAAACAGTGATTACGAGGCTTAGCTTGTGATAAAAACTATACCTAACAATGAGTTTGGTGTTATTATGGTTTAATAAATAAAAAAAAACAAAGTTTTATAATTTCAGTGAAGAGTGAAACATGTGTGTTGAGAAATTATTTAGTACTAGTAGAAACAAGGACATGCATTTAGATGTAAAAATGTGTCAAACAATTTGTCTGATTAGAAGATGAGGGATCATACAGCAGATGCAACTACATTTTTAAACAGAAATTTATATAGAAATCATCAAAACATCAAAAATATTAAAATGTGTTTTTTAAAACTTTTTAATTTGATTTACCTCCCTGATGATCTTAATAATAGAAATTCGCAACAGGTATGCTTAAAATTTGAATCTAAGGCCTTTAATATAATTGTGTGTGTGTGTGTGTGTGTGTGTGTGTGTGTGTGTGTGTGTGTGTGTGTGTGTGTGTGTGTGTGTGTGTGTATATGGTCCTGATATTATTAGTTTTGAGTCTTTTTGCCACTGTTTCATTGAACTTTTCCTGTGTGTTTATTAGCTTTTTTAATTACTATTTAACTGGGAATAAGCCACAATTAAAGAAAATATGTTTATTGACGTTTCAATTTCCACTTCAGAAATAATTCTCAAAATACAAACAGTAAATTAAACAAATTTTGTTTTTTGTTACATAGTGAAAATTCTTCTAATAATTTAATTTTATGACTCATTTATATTGACAATTCAGACATACATTATGCATTTTAAAGTAGACTACTTTAAAATGATATTACCAATATTGTTGAGTTGCGCTCCTGGGACAACCTTACTTATATGTTTCGTTATTTAAAAAACATAAATGATGTATCCTCTATCTGTTACTGACTTACTAATACTGGTATTTTCTTATTAATAACTTCCTCTTTCAATGTTGGTAACCAGATCTTACTACATTCAGCCAAGGAATTTGCAACACAATTGGCCTCATTTAGCATAATTGGAGCCGCTTCTTTGATTTTTCTTTTTTTACCATCCGTTTCTTTTAGGACTACATTTGAATTATTCCATTGAACACTATATTCCTTATCGCATGCTTGTTTACATATTTGAGATCTATCTAATTCTCTATTTTTAATATAAGATTGATGTTCACTTATTCTAACATTTAATGGCCTTGATGTTTCCCCTTAATAAAACTGATCGCATTCACAAGCTATTTTATAAATGCAATTCTTTGTCCTTTCTTGTTGATTGTTAGGTTTGGTTTTGGACAAAATAGATCTCAATGTGTTTGTTGTTTTGAATATTGTTGAAATGTTGAATTTATTTCCTATACTTTTAAGTTTTTCTGATAATCCTTTTATGTACAGTATTGTTATTTTCCTCGTATTATTCCTTGTGTATGCTGTAGGATCTCGTTCTAAGTTGTTCTGTTCTATTCAATCGATTGTTGAAAATTCCTTATTTATAAACGATAAAGGATAATCATTTTTTAATGAAACAGATGTTAACAAATGTTTCTCCTCCAAGAAAGAATTTTCGTTAGAACAAGTAATTTTGGCTCTATCATATAAGGATTTAATTATTCCCTTTTTTACATTAATATTGTGATTTGATTTGAAATTTAAATATCTATTGGTGTGTGTTGTTTTTCTATACACCTGAGTCTCATATCCAGTATCGTTCTTAGAGATTAAAACATCCAGGAAAGGTAGCGTGTTATTATATTCCTTTTCCATGGTAAATGTTATTGTCTTTTCTTTATCGTTTATATCATTTGGGAATGTGTCCAATAACTCTGATCCATCAGGCCATATTGAGAATACATCATCTACATACCTCCACCATACTGTGGGTTTTAAATTTTCTTTAGAAATGATATTTGTTTCAAAATCTTCCATAAATAAGAATTTTGGTGTTTATTGAAGGTAAACTAAATGCATGAACAAATACTTAACATGTCGGGATAGTATTATGAGGTTTTTTTCCTGGTTTTTCCCTCATAATTTACTATGGAATCACTAATAGGAGAATTTTACTGTCATCATGTCATGTGTTTGTCTTTTTAAAGACAAATTACATGCTATGATTTTTTTCTTAAGGATATTCTCAAGTTAAAGTTGATTTCATGTAATCGAATGAACTATCTTATAAGTAAAGTCATCCCAGGAGCACAACTCAACAATATTCACAATATCATTTTAAAGTCGTCTACTTTAAAATGCATAATGTATGTCTGAATTGTCAGTATTAATGAGTCAGATAAAATTAAATTATTAGAAGAATTTTTTACTATGTAACAAAAAACAATTTGTTTAATTTACTGTTTGTATTTTGAGAACGATTTCCTAAGTGGAAATTGAAACGTCAATAAACGTATTTTTATCTTTAATTGTGGCTTATTCCCAGTTAAATAATAATTAATTTAAAATGCCACAAGAAAATAGCTTCAAAACAATACCTTTTTTTAGTTTTACTTAATTATTTTGTTCTTTTTCTTTTTGTTTTTGTTATTTTTCTTTGACAAAAGTGGACCGAAACAGTAGAAAGTCTAAACTTCCAGAAATCAAGCAGACAGGCATGGTCATTACTAAGAAAATTAGGGAGTGGTGTCCGTAAGAAACGCCAAGAGGCAGCCGTAAAGCCAGATGCCATAACATCACATATAGTAAAAACATCCAGAGCACCAAAGGATAAAGCACACTATCTACGTAAAGAGAGAACTTAAAACATGTAGCCACAGAAACGGAGCATTCCCTCCCCTTCACCAGCGAAGACATATCAGAGGCTCTAAAAGATGTTAAGCCAGCAAAAGCACCAGGATTTGATAATATTCACCCTGAATTCCTACTAAATTGTGGCAAGTATACAAAAGTTTGGTTGGCTCGATTTTTCACAGACATCATGGAAACTGGAAATATCCCACAAGAACTAAAGCGCTCTAAGATAATAGTCACACCAAAGCCAGGCAAACCCGCTGACAACCCAAAAAACTACAGACCAATTGCGCTTCTCTCTGCTATCTACAAACTATTTAGAGAGGCTTATATACAGTATTGGAAGATTCAAAACGGAACATACGAATTATTAATACAATTATTAAGATCCCCTGACCTGCAATTACCCAGTGTAAATTTCAATATAACGTCGCGATGTCTTATAATTAATTCATTTGTTCGACTGGACTCCTTCTCCAGTCGATATTTTTCGACTGCTGCGCACGTGCGCACCTTAATAATACGACTAATAGTTGATTGTGTCGGTATTGGCCTATCTTCATACGCACAAGTAAATAAATTTATATCACGGTACGAGTTGCCCCCATAATACCATTTTAAAATTTGTACTTTTTCTTTGTTTGTATACATGGTTTATGGTTAGAAACACTACTTTTATTTCAGCTTGTAGGGCATGTATTTGTTTTGCTCGGCCAGTGATGTTCCTTGGGACTGTTGCCAAATCGATAGATACCTTCGGCAAAAATCTGTAGATTTTGATGTATCATATACATCCTTTTAAATTTTAAATTATCAACAATATTTGGAATAATAAATATATTAAACTATACACTAACCAATTCAAATAATATCTAATGAACACAAAAAAATTGTTATTAATAAAACATTGTTATTATCTGCACAAAAACACAGAAAATCAGTGGACGATAGACAACAGTGTCGACGTACACCTGTCGAATACGCTACTAGAAATCGCCAAGGAGTAGCAATCCAGTCGAACAAATGAATTAATTATAAGACTGGAGAGAGGGCCTTATATACACAATTCTCCGTGCAATTCCCTGTAAACAAATAGCACGTTTAATAGATAGCATGCTCAACGACCGAATGTTTCAAGTAGTGATGGGCACAGATATCAGCCCACCAAAGAAACTTAAGAATGGCCTACCACAGGGGTCAGTGCTCTCTCCATTACTATTTAGCAGATATGCCAGAAACACAATCAAGAAAGTTCGGACACGCCGATGACTGGGCCCTCACTACACGATGCAGAACACTAGAAACATCTGAAGAAGTTCTGACGGCAGACTTATATATATATATATATATATATATATATATATATATATATTGAGCAAATATTTTCGCAAGTGGCGGCTTCAACCAAATGCATCCAAAACGGAAGTAAGTTGCTTTCACCTGAACAATAAACTTGCTGGAAAGGAACTCAACATACGCTTTGAAAATACCACACTTTCTCATAACAAAACACCGAAGTACCTGGGCGTAACACTAGACAGAACGCTATCATTTAAAGAGCATTTAACAAAAACTGCCCAAAAGTTGAGTACAAGAAATAACATTATACAGAAGCTCTGCGGTACCACCTGGGGAGCATCGGCTTCCACTCTCCGCTCTACTGCTTTAGCCCTTGTTTTCTCGACCGCTGAATATTGTGCCCCAGTTTGGCTACACAGTCCACACGTAAAAAAGGTCGACACTCAGCTGCACAACACTAAGAGGATGATAGCTGGTACAATTAAATCAACTCCCACCCAATGGCTTCCAGTATTAAGTCACATTCCACCTCCACATTTACGACGAGTTGATGCACTTACACGTGAATACAAAAAGATCATGAACAATATAAACCTGCCGATCCACCAAGATACCGAGGATGCACGAAATACCCGTCTACGTTCTAGAAAACCACCAATGAAAACGGCAAGAATGATACATGAGGAGTTCAACATCACGAATGCATGGTCCCAAGAATGGAATGCATGGCAAAATAACATGCCCTGTATTACCCACAAGCCACCAGGTTTTGATCTTCCACGTAAAACATGGTCCAC